GGAAGGAGAGGCCTCTGTGCCCCTTCCACCCCCACTCCCCTCTTAGCCCTGGGGTCTTTCTTCCCCTCACAGAAGTTGGGAAAGGAGGTTGAATCCCCCCGCTGCATCCGTGAGGTCTTTTTGCTCTCCCCTCAAGTTTTGGGGCAGGGGCTGTGCCCCTCTCCCTGTCATTTGTGAGGTCCCTTCTATTGCAGGCCAGGGGGAAGGTTTCTCCATACCCCTTCCCTTTATCGCTCCCGTTATCCATGGGATTTCTTTCATCACCCAAATATTTGTGGTGCTCATGCCCCAGTCCTGAGGGCAGGGCTGTTCGGCACCCCCTTTCCCGGCGGGATCCCTTTTCCCTGTGGGATCCCCTCGCCCTGCTCACAGGCTTCGGAAGCAGAAGATGGATCTGTGTGTACCCCCCAAAAATACCGAGGTTCTTTTCCCTGTGCGTGCCTAGGCAGGCTGCTGTGGCGCAGAGAAACCTGAGCTGCCTCTCCATGCGAGGCAGAGCAGCTGCCAGCCCTCCATAAGTGGGAAATGCCTTGATCTAAGCCAGGCCCGGTGCTCTTTGCCGCTGCTCCAAACTCATATTGGAGCTGGGAATATTTTTGCAGCATCAAGGCTTTCATCCTTCCTCCTAGCCAGAGCCTCAAGTGTCCTGCTCCACCTCCTGCATCCCAGATGGGAATGATCCTCCCTTCCCACCTTTGCTTTTTCACCTCCCTTTTCCAGCACCCACACTCTGCACTCCTTGCATTTTGCTCCCTGTATGTTGTCATTGTCACCCCCTGCAGCTCTGGCCATCCTTGTGATCTCACCTGCTTTTGTGCCTTTTTATTCTTTTATTTTTGGCATGTGTTTCAGTGACAGCTCATTGAGGAAGTTTCGTTTTTCGAGCGGTGTCTGGGGAATGGGTAGAGCTGAGGTGGAGCAGTAGCAGCAGAGCTGCTTTCCTGCAGCCTGGAAGAAGTGCAGAGGTAGCTCGGAGGCTGTTGTGGTCTCGTTTCTCCCCATTTCCCTCCCGGCATTCTGCAAAATCAATGCAATTTTACCCTTTCATGCGTAGTTCATAGCCTCATGTTTTAGCATCAATCACAACCTCATGTTCAGAGGTGGCTGTGCTCATTTGGGAGAGGAAAACCCTCTAGTTGGCCGGGTAGCTGTAATTCCCTCCCCTCCTTTTCCAGGTGGGCGTTCTTCCCTCTTTCTCACTTTGCAGATAGGACTTTTTTCCTCTTCACTTGAGCTCTTCTGCTGCTCCTCAACTGCTCTTTTATTGTTCCATTTGCGAAGGTGACTTATTATTTCCCATCCCCCCCTACCACTGCATCCCGTGTCCTTGATTGTCTCTTCATTAACAGGACTGGGACGAAGCATTGAGCCTTTAAAAGGATCACGTTTGGGTGCTGTTTTCTGAGGAACAGGCTGGGAAGCGCTTTCCTAGGATAGCACAAGTAATGTGGATGTCTTGGGACAAGAATGGCTCATCCTGAGTGGGGAGGAACAGCAAAAACCTTCTTGCTTCCATCTTTAGTGCAGTTCTGGCATCCCCTGGGTGCTGTCAGTCCTTTTTTGGGGGGTTTCCATGTGCTCCTCTCTGTTTCTGGCTGCTGTTGGGATGAGGAATCAGATGGGGAGGGCAGTGCAGCATGTGCGATATCATAGAAGTACTAAATATAACTAAATATAAAACTAAATATAAATGAACCACCGTTTTGGCTGTGTCTGTCACCTGCGCCACATAAACAAATGTGCAAAATGAAAGATTGGGGCAGAGCTTCCAGCAGCGAGACCCTGTCGGTCTCGTTGCTTTTTGGAATCTGCAGCAGGAGATGATTTAAATTAGGCTGAATGGGTAAATTTTTCCCCAGAGAGCAGCTTTCAAACCGTGGTGCTTTGACTGTCTCTGTCTTGTCGGCATCCGGCTGGTCAATCTGACACAGCTGAAAATCACAGTGCAAGTTGTGTAAGATCTGAAACGATTTATTTAGTGCCTTTAGGAGACTGCAGCAAATATTTGTGTAATGGGGCTCCAGAAAGAGCCAGATTTATGTTATAGATTTCTCTACTGAGGACAAATTTAACCCTTTTGGACAGAAGGGAAAGGATGGCTGCTCTGAAACTAATAAATGGAGTTGGAGTTGACTTTTTTATTTGGCTACAGACTTACTGTAATGTATTGTGTGCCTGATACTTAGTGACTTCTTAAAAAGCAACCAGATTTAAGGGGATAATGCAATTAAATAACTTAAATCCAAAGGAAGCTTAGGATTTACAGAGTTACAATAGAAATAGTTTCATAGCCTATTTTTAACTTTTTTTTTTTTTTTTTGCATTTCCCTGCAGCACTGGAAATCAGGCCTAGTTTTGTTCTGACTGTGAAATCCCCAGGAAGTGGTGAGAAGCAAGAACCAAAGCCCGAACTTTTGAGCTACAGATATGATTAAAAATTGCTCTCTTGGATCTTCTGTAAGCTCCCAGAGGGCATTAAAGACAAGTCCAAATGTTGACAGCCATTCGATATTTGTCATTGAGCAGTGTTAATAATAGCATTTGCCTTTCTGAGGAATTTCTACTTTGCAAAATGCCTCTCTAGGTCAATTCATGGCTGATAGGGAGTAGATTCATACACTAGGAAATCTGGTAGCACTCAGGCCTGGTATTAATGATTTGCAGCTCAAATCTCTTATCAGGCTGTTTCTACCAGCTGAGATGGTAGTTTTTGTAACTGAAATCTGACCATGTGTGCTTTTTTTCTGGTTGTTTTGGGGAAGAATTATAAATTATGAATGCAGACAGGGATTGGTGTATGATTTTTCCAAATCTTGCCCATGTTTGTAAGCTCAACTTCATTGACAATCTGAATCATACTTGAGCTCAATGAGCTAGCATTGAAACAGGGAGGTGTTGCAAGTGTCTTGCACTTATTTTTGGAAAATGGTGTTTGATAACCTTTTGGGAGATTTGTCCAGGTTTAAAAAAAAAATAGAAGAAAACATCATTTAAATTCCTTTGAGCCAGACTTTAGTGCTGGTTTTAGCACTTTATTTCTCCCTTTAATAAATAAACTCTTGTATAGATTGCTGATTTCTGGGAGAAATACCTGCAATTGTGCGAGTTTATAATCTGACATTGCAGCTGTTGCTTAATTCTGAAAACTGTATTTGCAGCTGTTGATGTTTAGTTTTCTCAATCCAAGAGCTCCAGAACTTATTCTGGCACCTTCTGAAAGCAGCTGGGAGCAACTTAAATGATTTGTTTGGCAGGTTGGGACACCCTATAACTGGTTCCCCATCACGTTAGATCCTCTTGGAGGTTTTTGCTCCAAAGTTTGTTTATTGCTCGTTATTTAAGAATAAAGGGAACTGGGTATCTGTGGAGCTGGCTGAAGAGGAGAGTAGTTCTGGAGCTGCTGCAGGATAAATTTGAGGTATTATGTATTTTTGGGGAAGCTGCTGCATCTCTAGAGCTTGAAGCTTTTTCTAACTCTCTCTTCTTTCCTAATGCTCTCATAGGAACTAAAAAAGTAAGTACCCTCTAGTTGCCCTCTGCTTTTTGCTCCTTCTGGAAAATTGGTGGAATTGCAAGCGTTAAAGTTTTTATTAGCCTTATAAACAGATTATTGCACATTTTTTTCCTCTAATATCTGCTAGAATTAAGTATTACAGGTTTATTTAATATATTAGCTGTGTATCTCTGTGGTTCAAAACAGTCCTTGGGTTTAATCTCTAAAACAAACCTTGCCATCTTGAGGGTCCTCAGCAGTGCAACCCTGCCCTCAAAATTAGTGGTTTTACTGCAGCTTCAGTGCTTTGGGTCAATTATTTCATTTTTAGGGCAAAACTGATCCATTTTTGTCAAGCGACCGTGCGTTTTCTAGAGGCTAATCTGACGGTGACAATGCAAATTAAATATTTGAGGGCTATGATTTGAACAATATCAAGTCACATCTGAATTTCTTGCTAGACCCATTGCAGATAATGTTCCTTTCTGGAAGCTCGTCTTGGATTAATATACTAGATCTAGGTGTACCTTATTTTGAACCCGTGCACTGCAGCGGAGCACCATTTGGAACAGCAGTTGCTGCAAAATTCATCTGTAATTTGCAGCGCTTGATCCTTTTCCACTCTTCCAAATTACTAACATGCAGATGCTGCTCTGGCGAACATCTCCTCTTAACCTTTGTGCTGGCAAATCCTGTTTAAATAGGTTTGTCTTAAAAGATTATTTTTGAAAAGATGACATTTTTAGGTAAAATCGTATAATAGATCTAAGTTATTTGCCCAGTAGCTGAGGCTGTTGGTTTTTAAGTCTGCTCCCTCTGCTGGCTTCCAGATAGTAAAACACAAATCCATGTAAGCAATGACCTCTAAACATAGTCATGAGTCAGTGCATCTCTTTTTAGCCTTTTTTGCCCCAAATCAGTGCCTAGTTGAGTGGGTTGAACTACTAATTTGGGACTAATCCACTAACTTAAAAAATGCCTTCTGTATACCAGGGCTTTGAGCAAAACCTTAGTGAGCTTGTCCAGAGAGCTGCTTTCAAAACAACTTTTAAAGTGCCTTTTGTGCTAAAGGGTGTTATTTTTTAAATATTAAAGGGTGTTTTAAAGGGTGATATATAGTAACGTAGAAAGGTATTTGTCAGAACAGAGGTATTTTAGGAGGAACTTGATTTTGTCGTCAGAAACCAGATACGTTTTCAGACTGTTTAACTTCCCTTGAATTAAAATTTATAGCAAAACATGGAAATGTAGAGATTGAATTAAATGCTTAGATGCTTTAATGTAAATAATGACATGGTGGCTTGGGATACCTTTGTGTGACTTAGGAGATCGCTGAAGTCTGCTGCATGCCCTTGCTTTAATTAATTTTTTTCTTTGCAACTACATCTGTTGTGCTTATCTCTTAATGCTGTCCCTTTTTGGAAGATGAGGACGAGGAAGCCTCCGTGTCCGATAGAGAAAGTGTGGGTAGACAAGCACAAATACGATGAAGCTGAGAGGCTCCACTATGAGCGAGAGGCCTTGCTGGCCGCCGCAGCCCCGGAGGAAAACCAGGAGGTGGAGGCTGTGAATGGAGTCTGCAACGATGACTCTGCTGAAAGCGAGTGCCCAAAAAGAGGCAGGAATGGGAAGAAGCAGAAGAAAAGGAAGCGCTCTCCGAAGCCCAAAAATGTGCTCTCCAAGGTAGACTCTGTTCTCTCGGGCTTGCTTGCTGATCACGTGTGGTTCGACAAGCCTCTCTATGACCACGCGGAGAATGTGTACAGGAAAAACATAGTGGATTGGCAGAACCAGGAGGCGCTGGAGACTCAACTCCCTGCTGAGCAGGTTGCTTTAGCGCCCAGCTCTGAAGTTGCCCAAGATGTTTCGAAGCTGAGGATGTTCTCAGCGGCCCTGTCCTGCTCCCATGGTACTCTCTCTGCATGTCACCATATTGTTCAGGGCGTCTGGGTTAACAAACTCGACTTTGATAAAGCCGAGAAGGCGTTCATCGAGAAATCCCAGTTATTTGCCCCTCCGCACATCCTGAGCATCCCATCCGTGTGGTCCAACGGAGGTGGCGTTGGACTGAGGACGCCGGATGAAGGTTATGTTACAGCCTTGCCTACCCCTGCCACGCCAGGCTTAGCTCCGGACGCCGTAGCCCATCCTAACGCTCCCTTCGTTACCGACGTGCGCGAGACAGTGAACGGCAAGCCACAGATTTCAAGCTTGCAGGCCCTCATGTCCGAGGTGTGGCTGGAGAAACCCCTCTACGATGACGCCGAGAAGAGCTTCTACGAGAACATGTTTGATGGGCACCCACCAGGCAAAGCCAGACTGCAGAACCGTGGCGGCCCTGAAGCCTTGAAGAGGGAGCACGAGGACGGGAAGACTCAGAGCCCTGGGAGGCAAATGGACATCAAGCGTGAGGAGATCACCTGCTCTCTGCTTCCCAATGCTGCTGCTCCCCCTCCATCCACTTACTACTTCCTACACGAGGACAGTGAACCAGTGTGGCTTAACAAGTTGACATACGACAGTGCTGAGGCTCGATACTATTCTTTGGAAGCTCAGAAAATGTCCAAAACGGGAGAGGACACAAGGGTGCTGGAATCTACAGTAGCAAAACCTCTACCAGCTTCTCGTGCTTCAAGCGTACCTGCTCCAGAAACTAAGTAGGAGAAGTTTAATGTGGGGTAACGCTCACACGTGCAAAACTGCCGGGTCAGGCTCGAGCCGAAAGGATTTGCATGTGTAGAAGCCAAACATCCTTGAGGACCAACGTGTAGGGAGAGGGTGATCTTGAGCCAACTCAAGATTGTGGGCAGGGGTAACGAGGGAGAAATTCCTGCAAGGAGATTCTCCCTTTCACTTGGTGAATGCTCATGGTTAAAACATCCCAGTGGAAAAAAGAGAAGGCTGTTTGTCTTGTGTCACCAGAAAGGTTAAGTCTTTAAAGCAAGAGCTGAGAGTTGAGCTAGGGTTTGGCTGTCTAGACATGGGGGACTCCAGGGCAAAGCCCTTTAGGTACAAAGTGAGGAGCTGGAGGGCACAAAGATGCGGTTCAAACAGACCTACTAGGGTGAATTCAGGTTTGAATTTGAGCACTCAATATAGTGCTTTTTTGCTCTGTATTTCTACTGAAAGGTCCAGTTTTCCTTGGAGAAGCAGCTATCCCCATCTTTTTCAGGAGAACTCAGTGCCCAGCAGTTTGGCTGGTAAAATCCATGCAAGAGGCAACTATTTTGGTGTTGCTGCTGGTACCCAGCTTGTTGGAGAGCCTTGGATAAATGCAGCCTAGTAGGAGCAGGTGCTTTGTTTGCTTTTGGATAGGGCAAAGTCGCCTTGTTAACCTGTTAAACCCTTCTGGAAGCTGCTGTTAAATTGGGGATGTGATAGAATGACTGGATCACTGCTTATTTGATAGGTACTTATCATGGCTGGGTAGAAGAATGAGCTTGAAAATTACAGATGAGCTTTGTATATGTAACATAAATCAAACTAGTGCATGTTTAAGGACAGACACATCTCAAGGCTTCCTTCTTGAGCCTTTGGAAAGGTGCAATGTGATAAAGTGTTTGCTGGGCATGTTTTATATACCACTGGATAATGTATATATTTCAATTACACTGGAAAGAGAGGCTCTTGAAGGATGAGCTGACCCTGTTATCCCTTAAATTTAAGAGTTGCTAGAATAGGTGATGCTGAATTAGGTAGTTTGGAGTAGGGGTTGCAGTCAAGCTTTAATGCGTGCATGCCTTTTGTCATGTCCTAGTTGGAGTAGTTTTCCCTTTAACTGGATATGTGTTCATAGTTTTGGCCCTTCCCTAGAGAATTCCATGTGTTGTTACATGGAATATATCTGACTTCTGGTCTGGAGTTGTCCTTGGTTTAAAATATTGGGCACATCCTCTTTGACTATTGCAGCGGCCCTATCGTTTGCCTTCTAGTTGAGATTAAACAACCTTTGGAAGCTGCTACAATGAAAGAAAAAGCAATTTAAGCCTTTTCAGAGCAATATTAGAAACCTCTCAGCTGTTCCTTCCATCATAGTGGTAGGTGTCCCTCTTGCAAACATGACACTGATGATGTTTTGATTTCTAAACAATTCTGTCAACTTCCAAAGGGGGACATATGTTAATTTGTGAGCAATAGTGTCCAGAGCTCCCTGCTGAGATGTGGTAGTGTTGTATATTCTGTTTGGAGCTCCGTGTGCTTCAGGCTTTGGTTTCATTTTGACCAGATATCTTAAGAGTGAAAAAGCCTGCCCTGTTTGTGGTTGTCTCATGCGCAGGACATCTTTGATTCAACCGTGTGTCTGATGTGATGTAGAAAATCCGATTCCAGATGGCATTTTGTGGAAGTAGGTACAGATCAGCTGCTATATTCTGTCCCCGCTGGGTCCTCTGTCATGAAATGCAGGTCAGACTGGGCAGATGGGCGGGTGATTAGATGCTCCTCTTAATAGGATCCCATTTATTTAAAGCTTTCTGCGAGAGGGGATATGTCTGAGTGCAGAGGTACAGCTTTCCAGGAGAAGGAAATGCTGCTCTGACAAGTTCTTTGCAATGTGCTCCCTTAAAATGCTTCCAGAAACTCACTTTGCTGCTTCTTCTCTGCAGAAAAATGGCAGTCGACTTCTCACACGAGAAGATCTGGTTTGACAAATACAAGTATGATGATGCTGAGAGAAGATACTACGAGCAGATGAACGGGCCGGTTAGCAGTTCTTCACAGCAACAGGTAACGTTGGATTTCACGTGTGGCTGGGTTAGCAGTGTGCTGCAGCTTAATGAGCTAGTGCAGAGGGGAAGCAAAAGCAGGACCCTGTCTGCCTGGGGTAGAAACATGTATTTCTTTATCATTTCTGCTTTGGGTGCTGTTTTTTCCAAGTTTGAGAGTCTTCTCTTGAGGCTTTCCAAGTCCCTCTTTCCCCATCATGGTTTGTCTTTTGGATTATGATCTTCTCTGGACCATGAAGAATTTCTCTAGGACCACCAGGGGAAGAGTTAAGGGGTTGGTATTGGGAGATGGGGTGCATCTGAGAGGTGGTAGCCTTGGAGAAACAGAGAGGCAACAGGTGAAGCAGTGCACAACAGCAGTGTACAATTCATCTGGCTGCTCTGACAGGGTGTGGGTGCTGTTTGTGATCCCATTTGGGTGTCATTTCAGCCACGTACCCTGAAAGCTGTAGTTTTACTGATGGGATGAGCAGTGTGGTAGACCAAGAGTTGACCTGGACCCCTTCAAACAGGGGCAATGCTGTTTTGCTCAGGATTTAGAGCAGCTAAGCTTTCCTTGGCAAGGGATATGGTGGAGATCAAATGCTTGTGCCGGGGTACCGTGACTCCAGAGAAAGGAGGAATTTTGCTCCTCTTTGTACCCCATGCAACAGAAGTGTGCTCTCATGGAAGATCTTGCATTTGAGTGCTGAGTGTGTAAGGGCTTGTTGCTTATGTAGCAGCTTTTAGGCATGCTCTGCTCTATTCCTGCTGCATGTGGTAGTGTTAGTACAGCACCCAGGGCGCTTGCATTAGAACTTAAGTACTTGAAGTAGCTGCTAAGGAGCAAATTTTCACAATGTTCTTAGAGTGGTTGGACTATTTCATGCCACATAGGAAGCTTTGGATGAAAATTCATGTGAGAATTGGTGTGAAGGCTCTGTTGGAGGTTCTGCACTAATTTGTCACTCACTTAAATGCTAAGAGGAAAAGGAAAAATCTACATTCCATAAAGCCTGTCTCCAACCTGAAAGTGGATAACCTGAATGTATCCAGGTCGTGGCTCTTCAGTGAGCTGTATGACATGGATTTGGGGGCTTATGCTTAATTTCCAGGGGATGGTTTCGTGTCTTGGATCTTGTTTTGGGGATTTCAGTCAGAGAGAGGCGAGGAGTGATTGGAGCTTGGAAACTGAATTTGTGCCCTAGGGAGAGAATGTTCCAAGTCCAGCCTAAGACACAGCAGTGGCAGAATAAAATATTTGGGCTGCTGTGTCCTGAGTTGCATCTTCTTAGAGACTTTGATTATCAGGACTGTCTTTTTTTTTTAACCTGAGTAAAATTAAGAGTTTATATTAGGGAAAAATAAAAGGACTGCAATGATTCCTGCCCCCTCTCTGATGGCAGCAGTCCAGACTATTTGAGATAGGAATAAGGAGAGAATCTTAACAAGCTCTTGACTGAATTATCTTGTGGACACGTGGTCTAATGTGACCAAGGATTGCAGTCTGTGCTGTTTGGCTTAGAACCAATCCTTCTTGCAGCCAATTTTGCAGTACTCATTGAATCACTTGAGAAAATAATTAAAAAAAAAAAAACCGCAAACTCTCCAATCTTCCCCTTTTCTAACTTCTCTGACCATTCTCCAGTATGTTTCCTATATATATTTTTTAAAAAGTCTTGGTTCTTTCTGCACTGTTTGCAGGAGAACGGAGCCAGCACGATCCTCCGCGACATTGCCAGAGCCAGGGAGAATATCCAGAAATCGCTGGCCGGAGTGAGTACTGAAGCTCTCTCACCAGCTGACTACCCGCAATCATTTTTAGCTGTGGTGCATCTCACAGACCTCCACTGCGACCACCTCATAGATTTTGTGGCTTCTTATTTTTGAGTTAGAGGAGATGACCAAGGTGTGCAGTGCTGTGTACCGCCAGCGTAGCTCCATTCTGACCAAGAGCACCGATGCTACCGGGCTGCATGCTGCTTACCTGCTTGTCAGCCTCTAGAGCCTTCCAGAATAACTGGATTTGAGTTCAAATTCCTCAACTTTTTTTCTCCTGGTGGAATTTGTTCCTACGGGTCTTTTAAAAGAAGTAACAAGTTACTGCTAAAAGAACCTTGCTGGGGAGCAAAGTACTGAGCTGCCAGCATGGGTATGTTTGTCTCTTGGGGTACACTGAGCTGCCACCTTCTCTTTCCTGTTTTGCTTTCAGTTAGGGTATGTGCAAAAAAATGGTGTCTTCCATCTGCTGCATCTAGGGAATTCAGCTTGGCTACTAGCTTCAATTCCAGAGCCTCCCATAAAGGTTAAGTAATATCCTTTCTAGAGGTGTTTAGGTGCTGATACGTAAATGAGTCGCCAGAGAGCAGTGTTAGGTCTCTTTTTCAAGAGGAAATAACTCTTAAACTAATAAGTGGGGTTTTATGGGGTTGTATTGGTTTTATGGGTGAGGCCAAACCAGCCACAGAATGTGATCCATGTGCCTTGGTTTCTTATCTCAGCAATGGGACTAGAACTTACTTGCACTTAAGATCCATCTGGAGGATATCTGTCCTTATAGTGATTTGACCGCACAGCCCTGTCTTGGGATAGATAACAGTACACATTTCTAGATCTGTACGCTGACAGAATTCAGCCTTTCTTGACAGGAATACCTCCTATTTCTCCTTTCTTAAAGCAGGAATACATAGCTGAGATGGATACAGTGGAATTAACTGCTTTTCCCATGGTGGTCTCACTGTGCAGTTGAACTTGACACTGCAAAAGCAACTTGGGCATCTGGAATAACTGCAGCTGCTCGTGTGGATGATCCAAGATAGGGCAGAACTGGAAACTTGGAAATGGAGGCAGAAAGAGCAGGACCAATTTGAAGAAAGGCTGGTTGGAAAGGATTAGATTTGCCTTGGTTGTATTCAGTGGTCCTGCATGCAGCTTAGAAACTGGAGTCAGTGAGAGCTGGAACAGGTTAGTAATACTAAAAAAAGGAGAAAATACCCGGATGTAAAGCTTTCTAATGTTGCTTTCTGCTGTTTAGCATCTCTTTTCCAGTAGGGAAAATGTTCCTGAGCTAGCTAAAGTTCAGACCTTTAGTAACCTGCTTGAGCTTTCAGTAGAAATGATGAGCCCTTCCCTAAGATTTGGAGCTTGGACTTAAGGCAAATATGCGGGGGAAGAAACCACCATCCCAGATGGATTTGGGGATTTTTTTTGTGTGTGTGTGTAGAAAGTGTTAGAAAGTGTTTGAAAATGACTGTCCTGAGTAGAAGGAGTTGTAGGATCAAAGTAAAATGGAGCATTAGCTTCCTCCAAGACCTGCCTCCTCTAGGAATGGAGGCTAGAAGTGGTGAGAAAGAGCAGGAAACATTGATGTTTATTACCATGTTTGAACCAAATTACCAGATTACCACAGATTTTTCTGGAGGTTAATTTTGTTAGCAGAATTTCTCCCATTGAGTCTTCTGTTGAGGAAAACTCCACAGGCTTGAGAATTTAATTGTGCCCTTGAGTCTACCCTGCTCTTAAGAGTGCTCTGTAATAATTTAGCCAACTTATATCTGCTGTTCTGCTCCCAGAGTATTCCAGCTGCTGGGATAAGCCGAGCACAATGACCTCTTCCTTCTTTTCCTTACTATTTTGTAATCCTGTTTTACTGGGCTTGCCTTACCCTGGCTTACACAGTGTCTTAGCTCTGTCAGGGAACAGACTTGACTTTTTGGACACATTTAAACTTTTGTTTTCATGCCTCAAAGCAAAATTAATCATATTGCATCTGCAGAATAATTCTGAAGCATGGTTTTGTTTTCTGTCCAGAATTCCAGAATTTCTGTATGTAAGTTGCCTTTCCCCCTAAACCTGCAGAATTATTAGTAGGAACTGAGGAGGAAGCTTGTGAAAAGTTGGATCTGGTAAGATAGGGAGATGGCCAATCAAGAGTTGGTTCTTGTAAGATGGGAGAGCTGTCGGTGCAATTCTACTAAGGTCTATTTTAGATGTGCTTCAGTTCGGTAGTGGTGGCTAGAAATCCCTACTGGAGCGTTAGGATTGTTGAAGTTGTGATTTGTATCTCCCAAGGGAGAGTAGAAACCTCTCTGATGCCAGAAACATTTGTTTGCACATACCTTCCATCCTGCTTTGCATGGTCATCTCTGCTTTAAACGATCCCCCTCCCCTTTACACGTCTACTAGGTCGCTAATGCTTCCCTACGTATGGAGTTTGGAACTTCGTTAGTGCTGCAACCAGCGATGTTGAGACCACATGTGGTGAGAGATGTCCCAAATGGCTTGGAAAGGGTTGACCAGCTTGCCCAAGGCCATAGAGCAAGGGTTGACCAGCTTACCAAGGCCATGGAGCTAGGGTTGACCAGCTTGGAAATGAGTCTGAATCCATCCTGTTTGTCTTGAGGGTGAAAACATCTTCCAGTCCTTGAGAGTCACTTCCTTGCAGCTCATTTAAGTGTTTCTGAGCATGGCAAAAACTTGCAGAGCTCAGACTGACTTGAGTGGAAGGATTTTGCAACTGTGCAAGCATGAAATGGGGTTAATTTTTGTACAGAGCCATGAGTGCCCTCCAAACTTTGTATTGGAGAACATGCACATTTGCACATCTCTAACAGCGCGTGTTTCTTTATAAAGTTGAGCTTAACATCATCTTTTCCCCAATTTTTAAAAAGCTCTTAGGTGAGTTCAGAGACTAGATTGTAATTTCTACCCTTTCTAAGCATTAAAAAAAATGTCCCAGTGATTTAGGACATATTTTGCCTGCCTGATTGAACTTATGTGTAATCCTTGGTATGGTAGGAGGCAGTGCAGGATGTAAATGAAGTGGAGCTCCTATCTTGGGTGTTTTGAACGACTGCTTGATAAAACTGGCAAACACCCCTATTGGACTTCCCATCTGGGACTTCTCTTGGCACAGAAGCAGCAACTCTTGCATGTGGCAAAGAGCAGACGGGAGGTAAATATGCAGTTTATAGTGGCGACCATATCTCTGAAAGTTTAAAAAAATAACCCTCCCTTTTTAAGTAGAAGTGGAAAAAAATGCCAAGGGGAGCCAGCAAATTTCCATTGAGTAGCAGAAGAAATAGGAGACCTCTATTAATGCAGCTGTTGGTATTGCAGCTCCTCGAGTGCTTGGGTTACCTGCCTTATCGTATGCTGATGGGAGGGTGCTTAATTGCTGCCCTGGGAAAGGTGACTTTCCAGGCCCCTTATCAGTGTTTGCAACCTCACCCACCTAAAGACTCTGGATAAGGTGACAAGGGAGTCATTTATTTGTGCACTGCAGAGCTCTGCAGTTGCTTCCTGCAATTCCCCAGGCAACCTGTATGGAAATACACGACAGTTTTCTTACCTTAGCATTTTATACCCATGAAAAATAGCCTGTTGTAGTAACAGAATGTTCTTTCTGCATCTTTCCTTGTTTGAAATGTAGTGCAGAGTCTTTCTGAGCCCCCTCGTCTTAGTATTGCGAGCCACATGGGCATCTTTTCTGGAAGAAATCGGATATTTTCCTCTCCAAACTCGTCCCCTAAATGACACTGCTCTGCAAAGCTGGCAAGTGCGTTTTGAGCTAGAGGATCCTGCCGAGCTGTGGATTTTTGTGCTGCAGGATGGCAGGGGGAAATCCACAGGGTGCTGACTGGCAAGTGGACAGTGTTGGTTCAGCTGAGATTTTGGCATCTTTGAGGTGCTCAGTTAGTGACCGTGAGGCTGGGCGAGACTCCACAAGATTCCTTGAATATTATTGACAAGGAAGGGAAGTTTGGAGGGAGAACTGAGCTCTGCAGCAAGGGTCTGTGTTGAAAATCTGTCTGTTCTGCAACCCCAACTGGGGGCTGCAGCTTCTCTAATGGCAGCAGCTGGGTGCAAACTCGCCAGAATTGCTAGGAAAAATGTGGAGCCTGTTGAAATGCTTCCATGTTCATCTGTGAAGTGTGACTAGGGTTTCAGACTGCTATGGACAGGTAATATCTTACTGATGTTAAAGTCGTGGTGTGTAGGGCTGGGAATGGCCTGATGTGGTGGGTCTGGCATCGAGTTGCTCGGTCAGGGTGGTTGTTGCTCGATGCAGGGTGGTTGTTGCTGTCTTTATCCCTGGGAAAGACACTGTGGTGGCAGCTGGGGACAACTTAAGGGTCTCGGTAGCTTTGCATGTGTTTGTGTCCACAGAGTGAATGCTTTGGCTCCTGGCAGGAGAGCTCGCTGAGAGCTGCTGTGTGGCTGTGATAACGCATGCATCTCCTGCACCTCTTACTGTACAGACAGCAAAATGGCCAGGACCAGGTTCGGGGTGGCTTTGTCTGGTTTTACCCCGCCATGCTTGACCCTTCGGCAAGCACTGAGATTTGTTAACAAAAGGATGGCAAAGCTCATGGGTGACTTTTCCTGCGAACTTTGGTTGCAGCGTAGCTGGTGTGAAGCTGTTTCTCGTTGAGTGACGGTCTGTCCTGCATGAGGGTCTGCTGCCTGTGCTCGAGCGTTTCTTTCAGCATGAGTTGAGGTGCTTCTCTCCTTCCCCTTGCACCAAAACCATCCTCCCCCAAAAACCCCTTTTGCCCTTTCCAGCAGAAGACAGGTCCGCGTAGCAAAGAAGCTCCCTCTGCCCGTGCCAAGAGGCAGTCAGGCCGCTCAACTGTAAGTCGCCTGCGTGTGGATGGAGCTGCTTGTGTTGCCAGCAAAGAGGCTGGAGGTCAACTCTCCACCTTGTGCCGTGGGAGGCGCTTGCTCTTTGGGATGGAGTCCCAGCTCCTGCTGTGCAGTACAGAGCCCCGGGGGTCTCGGGGAGCGGGTCTGGGGACCGCAGGTCGGCGCTTGTATTGCTGAGTATCTACCTGCTGCCCAGACTGATTTTCTGGGGACGTTTCCTTTTGGCATCTGCTCCTTTTTGGGTAGGTAAAGGAGCATCTGTGGCCTTCCTTCCAGAAGCAGCGCGTGCTGCTTCCCTGTGAACGCTGCTCCCAGGGTTATCTCTCCCAGGACCAGCTTTCAGTGTGCTCCGTTTGCCACCTCCATCTCAAGTGATTGCCAGGATACTAGGAGCCTGCCAGGCGTAACCAAGGATCACATTAATGATGTGCACCTGAAAGAGCATAAATGATCTCTCTTATTGTATTCAGTTATGTTGACACTTGAAGGCCTGTATTTTTTTCCTTCTCCTTTTGCAGAATTGATTTATACACAATGGCCTCCTTAAAGGAATGAAAGCATTTTGCTGTTAAAACAAGTCCTTTTGGAGCTCGCTTGGCCTCATTGTCATGTATTCAAGTAGGCTTCAGGGGGTTTTGAGAGGAATTAAAAGGCTGGAGTGGGGAAGATAAGAGTAAAAATCCAGGCATCTCTTTCTAGCTTTCACAGTGACTTGTGTGACATTAGGCAGGTCGTTTCAGTGCTGCAGTTTGTGAGAAGAGACCAGCTGCCCCACTGAAGGGGCTTGGTGTGAAGCTTTCCAAACCTCCTGCATGTTTAGTGGTAGTTCATGATCTGTGGCTGCAAGGAATGACTTCATCCCGCACTCCTCATTGCCACTTAAGATCCATAAGATGTTTCATGCTTCATGGTATAGAGCTTTGGATGAAATGACCTTGTTCTTTGGTAGCTTTAAAACTCTCTTCTTCCCCAGAGGCTTGACTGTGCTGCGCTTCACTGACCCGTTGAGCTTGGGAGCAGGTTTGTTTCATCTCAGTTTTCCTCGTTGCAGAGCGCGAGCACAACCTCTTCTGGGCCTTCTGGTGATCAAAATGAACTCGTTTCCCGAATTTCTCACCTGGAGGTAGAAAATCAAAACCTTCGCAGTGGTAAGTGGGGAGAGTCTTCTGCTGGGAAGACACATTTGGTGGGTCCAGCTCCTGTGGAGCATCCACCATGCACTGACCTCACCCGTGGCCACGTGAGCACATACCACTTTTTTGGTCAGAGCTTTGCATACTTCTGCTCTGACTGGGACAGCTGATGTTTGCAAAGCGACTTGGGGCAAAAGCTCTCAAGGTCTGACTTGAGAGCTGATGCCAGAGCCTACAAGATAAGCTTCCCTTCCCCCTGTCCCTTCTTGCAGTTGTTGCAGATCTTCAGCTGGCCATCTCCAAGTTGGAAAGCCGCCTGAATGTGCTGGAAAAATCATCTACCTCCCATCAGCCTGCATCGATTCCACCAACCCAGGTGAGCCTCAGCAGAGCATTGCTCCGAGTGCTTCATCATAATGAAGTCTTAGGTTGCTTCAGAGGTCTCCTCATTCTAATATATAGTTATATGTATGAGTTCACAAAATTATTTGTAGGTTTAGGAGCTCCTATATATTGTTGCATTGAGTTCCCAAGTGCTGCTCTGATTTAACTGCAGATTATTTTTCTTTCCACTTTGAATGCGTGTCACTACCATGAAGAAAGTGGAACCATTCAGTGTTCCCTCCAAGAAAGTGGCTCTCCCATCTGCATCAATTGCAAAGAAAGTTGAGTCAACCGCTGCAGAGGATGACGAGGATGACGACATTGACCTTTTCGGTAGCGATGACGAAGAGGAAGACCAAGAGGCTGCCAAAGTCCGGGAGGAGAGACTGCGCCAGTACGCAGAGAAGAAGGCCAAGAAGCCAGGTCTAATTGCCAAGTCTTCTATCCTTCTGGATGTTAAACCGGTGAGTAATCTGAAAGAGGGGGAGTTTGAGTGAGGTTTTGTGTCTCATGCTGCAGCAGGCTGCAAATCACTTCCAGACCTTAGTTGTCTGGTGAAGTGAATGTAACTTGAAGGTTTTTCAAGCAAGATTTGGAGTTGGGTGAGATATCACAGCTGGAATCCTCAGTGTTTGCCCTGCTGGTGCCTCCTCTGAACCATGGCAAGTGCAGGCAGTTATTATACTGGTGCCCATGACCAGGAGTAGCCCCTTCTTTTAAAGAAAGGTCATTCATCAGTTGAAGCAAAATCAGGCTAACATGCCCTGAAGGTGGGATTTGCGCTACGCAAAAGAGAAATGTCCTTGGTAATGATAAAAATATTTGCATTTGTTTTAAAGCGAGTGCTCCAAAGTAGATGTGCTTCTCCAGGAAGAAATCCCTTTGCATATGAAGGGTCTGCAGGTAGAATTGAGATACTACACAGCATTGCTGCAGAGTCATATTTAGCTTGGCTAACTCCATCAGCTAATTAATTGTCTGGTGGGAATGGCAGCCAAGAAAAGGCAGCTGGAATTAGCTGAAATGTGGTATTGAATTTAAGCTGCTGCTCAAACCAGAGACATGGGCATGTGTTACATGTGTGAAAGCGTGTTGATTAGCTCAGGTTAGCCTGTCTGATTTTGGGGTGCACCCATCTTAATTTGTATGATATTGAATGAATAATATTACCCACCCTCATTGTTTGCCATGTATGTGGTAGTCTTGAGTTGTTGGACACCTCTTGGGGCTATTGGTGATGTCTTGGAAAATGCTTAAGTTCTTATTTCTTGTCTTGGCAGTGGGATGATGAGACTGACATGGCAAAGATGGAGGAGTGCGTCCGATCCATCCACATGGATGGGCTTGTGTGGGGCGCCTCCAAGCTGGTCCCAGTAGGCTATGGCATCAAGAAGCTCCAGATCCAGTGCGTAGTGGAGGATGACAAAGTTGGGACAGACATCCTGGAGGAGGAGATCACCAAGTTTGAAGACTATGTAAGTCTGCAGCTCTTGAATCGTGCCATGTTTTTTATTTGAAATGATGCAAAATTGTCAGCTAGGGTTATCCTTCCTCCTGTGAGAGGAGACAGACCTCAAAATCCAAGCAACCTGTGCACTAAGTAACAGTGGACACATCTTGTAACAGTTGCACCTTTGAAACAAGTCACATTGTTTTTATCTGTGTTCTTCATAGGTTGGACTCTAAAAGTCATTCAGTAACTAGTGCGCAGTGGAGTTTCCTATTGTGACTGGGGTCATAGCAGTCCAAAATAGCACCTAAAAAGCTGCTAAACCACCTAAAAGGGGGCTCTTAGAGCAGGCAAGCTGTTCTAAGAGAAATGGGCTCTGCTTGATTTTTGAGTAGATGTGTGTGTGCTGTCAAATCCTGGCCCCACATGTACTTGATGAATGTTTGAGAAGACCTTGGTGATCCCCAGCTGCTGCTCTTGTTCTGTTTCAGGTGCAGAGCGTTGACATTGCTGCTTTCAACAAGATCTAGAAGCAACTTATAACCTCCGTGGGAGTGTAATAAATGTCAAGATTGGGAGTGCACATTGTATGATGTCTTTCTTTGCAGAGCATAATTTAGTCGGTGTGTGATGTGTTGTGAGCTACTTGGGCCACTTTGGGATCTTTCTCCTCCTTTCCCTGCTGTCATTAAAGGTAATGACATTCCTGCCTTGGTGTTGCATATGCATGAGCAGCCTGTGGCTAAAGGTTTGTGCACAAATCACAGAATCACACAATAGTTAAGGTTGGAAGGGACCTCTAGAGATGGTCTAGTCCCAACCCCCTGCTTCAGCAGGGACATCTAGAGCACGGGGCACCTGGTTGCATCCAGGTGGGTTTTGAAGACCTCCAGGGAAGGAGACTCCCCAACCTCCCTGGGCAGCCTGTTCCAGGGCTCTGGCACCCCCACAGTGAAGAAGTTCCTCCTCTCATGGAGATGGAACTGCCTGTGTTGCAACTTGTACCCATTGTCCCTAGTCCTATCACTGGCCACTGCCGAGAAGACTCTGGCCCCATCCTCTTTGCGTTCTCCCCTCAGGAACATGTACATATTGATCAGGTCTCCTCTCAGCCTTCTCTTCTTTGGGCTTTGGCACATGGAGCTGAACTTCCTCCTTATTTTTCTTTTGCTGCTCTCGCTGTCCTGTGGAGGACACTTCCGTGGATCATCCTGTGCTTTAGGAATGAGGAGACCAGCCAGGACGCGGCCAGTGAAAGGAGAGACTTTCACACTGTAGATATAAATGGTGCGTAGCAATGCTGCAGAGTCCAAAGGTCCAGATCCGAGCTGTGAAATGCAAACATTGAGCAGCACAGTGAGCGCCACGGTGTCGAGCCACAGGTCAAAGCTGGAGGTGCAAGTGAGGAGCCTAGCGACCTCTCCTCCGTTGTGTTGGTTTTCCTCGCTGTGTGTTGTGTCTGTGCTCTGCGTTCTGCCATGCTGGTGTGAGCGGGGTCCTCATGCACTGTTAGGAGGTCGGGGGTGGGTGTACGCGGTGTCCATGTGCAGTGGCATGTGTCATTGCTAGAGGGCGTAGACCTGGTGGCCGCGCGCGCGCCCCGGGGTAGACCTGTTACCCCGCGCGCCAGGACTACATTTCCCAGCGCCCCCTGCGCGCGGCGGCGCACGCCATTGGCGGCGGCGGGTCAGGCGGCGCGGCGCGGCCCGCCATGGCGCTGCTCACGGACCTCTACCAGGTCACCATGGCGTACGGGTACTGGCGCGCCGGGCGGCACCGCGCGCCCGCCGCCGCCGAGCTGCTCTTCCGCCGCTGCCCCTTCGGCGGCGCCTTCGCGCTCGGCGCCGGCCTGGCCGAGGCGCTGCGCTTCCTCCGCGCCTTCCGCTTCTCCGCCGCCGGTGCGTGGAGGGACGCGGGGGCGCCCCCAATCGTGGGGGACCCCCGGGGGGGGGCCCTCAAGGGTAGCAGCGGGGGGGGGGGCAAAGGGCTTCCCTCATGGGGTGCTTGGGTGGCCTAGGTGGGACAGGGACAGCTCAGAGGGGTGAAGAGACCCCTCGGGGGGATGCGGGAAGGTCCCTCGGGGCAGGAGTGACCCTCGGGGCAGCAAAGAACCCCCTGGGGGGATAGGGAGGAGCCCTCAGAGGGACCCCGAGGGACAGGGACACCTCTCAGAGGGACCCTGTGGGACAAGGGCACTTCTCAGGGGCAGTAAGATCTCTCAGAGGGACCCTGTGGGGACAAGGAGCTGGGGGGGGTGCACAGGGACACCCCTTAGAGCCCTGGGGGAGGAGGGACACAGGCTTTCCTTAGAAGAGTGAGGAGACTCCTTGGGGTATATGGGGGGGTCTTGCTGGGTGGCCTAGGTGGGACAGGGACAGCTCAGAGGGGTGAGGAGACCCTTCAGGGGGACTCAGGTGGGGCAGGAATGTCCCTTGGAGCAGCAAAGAAGTCCCCCGTGGAGACAGGGACACCTCTCAGAGGGATCCTAGGGACAAGAACACAGTAAGATCCCTTAGAGGGACCAGGAGCTCCCTTGAGGGGCCTGGAGGAGACGGGGGACGTAGGTGGGGGGACAGGGACCTTAGGACCTGAGGATGGAGACATGGACTTAGAGGGAACACCTGGGGGGATATGGAGGGACCCATTGGGATGCCTGGGTTGGGGCATCTCTCAGGGGAGCAAGCAGAGCCCTCACGGGACCAGGGTGCTGAGTGTAGGACCCTGGGCAGTCCCCCGAGGGGCCACAGCTCAGCGGGCGCCCTCGCCTCCCCGCGCAGATATCGCCTACCTGCGCTCCGTCCTGCCCAGCACCACCGAGGAGGCCTTCTTCGAGTACCTGTGCACCGTGGACGCCTCGGAGGTGACCGTCACCTCCGTGCCCGAAGGCTCCGTCGTCTTCTCCAGGGTGAGCGCGGGCCGGGGCGACTCAGCTGGGACTCACAGAATCACAGAGCGGCTAAGGTTGGAAGGGAGCTCTAGGGATCATCCAGTCCAACCCCCTGCTCCAGCAGGGACACCCAGAGCACGGGACACCCGGTTGCATCCAGGCAGGTTTTGAAGACCTCCAGAGAAGGAGACTCCACAGCCTCCCTGGGCAGCCTGTGCCAAGGCTCTGTCACCCTCAAAGTGAAGAAGTTCTTCCTCACATGGAGATGGAACTTGTACACATAAGGGCTCGACCTTGGCTGTCGGGTGCTGTTGGCTCCAGCTCCGTTGGGCCAGGAGGCCTCATCACTGCTCTCCTGGCTCTTCCCGCAGGTCCCGCTCCTGCAGGTGAAGGGTCCGCTGCTGGTGGTGCAGCTGCTGGAGACCACCTTGCTGTGCCTGGTCAGCTACGCCAGGTAGGAGCACCCGCCTCTGGGGTGCTGGGATCCCTCGGCCATGGGGCACGTGGTGCCCTGGGTCCCCCCAGGGCGTCTCGTGTGACTCTCGCCTTCCTCCCCTCGCAGCCTGGTGGCCACGAACGCCGCCCGCTTCCGCCTCCTCGCTGGCCCAACCACGAAGCTGATGGAGATGGGGCTGCGTCGCGCGCAGGGCCCGGACGGCGGCCTCTCCGCCTCCAAGTACTCCTACATCGGGGGTGAGCGCAGCCCTGCGGAGCGGCTCCTCCGGGCTCTTCCCCGGCATCTGCGTCCTCACCCTCTGCTTCTCCCCGCCGCAGGCTTCGACTGCACCAGCAACGTGCTGGCGGGGAAGCTCTACGGCATCCCCGTGCAGGGCACCGTGGCCCACTCGTTCATCATGTCCTTCACGTCGCTGGCCGAGGTGGAGCCCCGGGTGAGCGTCGCAGTCCCTCGACCATGGGCCGGGCTAGGACATGGGTTGTGGGGGTGAATTAGGGCTACGAGGATGATCAGGAGCCTGGAACATCTGCCCTGTGAGGAAAGGCTGAGAGAGCTGGGCCTGTTCAGCCTGGAGAAGAGGAGGCTGAGGGGGGACCTGATCAGTGTGTATAAATACCTGAAGGGAGGCAGTGAGGAGGAGGAGGCCGGCCTCTTTTCAGTGGTGGACAGTGATAGAACTAGAGGAAACGGCCACAAATTGAAGCACCAAAAGTTCCACAGGAACTTAAGGAAACACTTCTTGACAGTGAGCGTGACAGAGCACTGGAACAGGCTGCCCAGAGAGGTTGTGGAGTCTCCTTCTTTGGAGATCTTTAAAACCCACCTGGATGCAACCCTGTGCCACGTGCTCTAGGTGACCCTGCATGTGCAGGGGGGTTTGAATAGATGACTTCTGGAGGTCCCTTCCAACATTAAGCATTCTCCTTCCAGCCTTAAGCATTCTATGATTCTGTAATTTTGGAGCGTTGGGTGGCAGCAGAGCGGGCTTTGCAGCGTGGCTATTGGGCAGGTCCTGGCACCCGCCGCTGGAGGAGAGCCGGTGGATCTGCCCTCGCTGGCTGAGTCGTGGCTGCCGCGGGTGTGCGAGCTGCTGCGGGTGTCCCCGGGCAAAGTGAACCGGGGGGAGCTGGCCGCCTTCGTCTCCTACGCCGTGAGCTTCCCACGCAACTTCCAGGGGCTGCTGGACACCTACTGCGTCATGCGGTGAGGACACCAGGCCTCTCCCACCTACTCGGGAGCCCAGGTCTCGGGTGTTAGGAAGAAGGGGAGTGTGATGGGTCCCAATGGGTCCCTTCTTTCCGTCAGGCAGAGCTGTGGACAGGAGGGGAAAGGGCAGCTCTTGAGAAGCCTCCACTGCCCGACCACTTTGGGTAGCGTTTATCGCTCCCACGTCCTCGCCGGACCAACCCTTCCCTTGTCCCCACCAGGAGCGGCCTTCCCAACTTCTGCGCCGTGGCCCTGGCGCTCAACGAGCTGGGCTACCGCGCCATCGGGGTGCGCCTGGACAGCGGGGACCTGGCGCAGCAGTCCAAGGAGATCCGCCGAGTGTTTCGTGCTTGTGGTGCCCGGTGAGTCCCCAGGTGCCTTTCGCTGGTGTAGAGGGTTCCTGCGGGGTGCTGAGCGCCCCTTTGCTTTTCTCTGCAGCTTCCAGGTGCCCTGGTTCGAGAGCATCTCTATCGCCGTGAGCAACGACATCAGCGAGCGGAGCCTGGAGGACTTCATCCGAGAGGTGAGGTGGCCACTGCCACGGTTGGGATGTCATCTCTGCCTCTGCTGGGGGTCTCCGAGTGCTGGAGGGAGGGGGTGACCGTTGCCCTGCATCTCTGTGCTGCACCCCAAAGGGTGTCCAGGCTGGAAAAAGAGGATTCTGGGTGGAATGGGATGAGATGGATGGGGATGGATGGATGGATGGATGGATGGATGGATGGATGGATGCGGAGGAAGGGATGGATGGATGGATGGATGGATGGATGGATGGATGGATGGATGGATGGAGGGAAGGAGGGAGGAAGGGATGGAGGGATGGATGGATGGGAAGGAGGGAGGGAGGAAAGGATGGATGGAGGGATGGGAAGGAGGGAGGAAGGGATG